GCCCCTGTCCCGCGGTCGGGCATCTCGTTAGCCACCTGTCAGCCAGCTGTCTGCGGCCGTCAATCCCCACTTCACATCGCGGGAGTAAACGGTACAGAGAGCACTGGAAGGAAACTATTGTACCCTTAGCCCCCCCAAGAAAAAAAACATTTAAACCAGACTGAGCCTGCCAACAGGTTACAATTGCCAGAATATAGGGTGGTGGTCAGCATTCAAATTAAATTGCTATTTTTATCAATTTTACATTTGCAATGTATGGGGAATGTGCACATATGTTGTATTTTGGGTGAGTTTTTCCTTCCAGACACTGCATAATGATTGTGAAATGACAGCTGAGGTCACTGGATCCACTGTGGGTGGCATTATTTTATTATTTCTGATTGGGTTAAACTAGGCTTGTAGTGTTCGACAGCCCGGGGTAAACCCCGCCCCTTCCTCACTATGGTAAATTCTCCCCATCGCTATGGTAAATTCATTGCCCTTTTTAGCTCTGGTTTATTGGTCTCCACTCCACAGCGTAGCTTAATATGCAAGTCAGTATTTAATTAAGCAACGAGAAGTGGTGGCTAATTTTGGTATCTTGGTCGTGCACGTGTAACCATCGTGTTCCTATCGCCATTTACACACCTTTATGGTGAGATTCACATCCGTCTCTCATGGTTTGAAATTCAATATGACTTAATGCCCTCGTAATCAGCCACTTCCTGTGTGTGTGTGATAAAGGCAGTTTGGTTCTTCTGCTTGTCTTCGAGCACTCGCACCAAGGAGGGCCACAAATGGCAGCAAAACGGTGCCCCCTCTGCATCTGACGACGATAACGGGTCGGAGAATGAGTCACAGCGTGGAAAGCAGGAATCCAGCTCGTTTACGCGGGTGACTCACTTTCCCAAGTACAAGCTCTCTCATCTGTATAATGGGAGCGGACCTTGAGTACGGAGACGTCAAGGGGCGCGATTTGTGACAGAACGCGCAATTAGAGACATCCCAGAGTTGCCAAGCAAGCGCCGGCGGTTCTTTCAGAAGTTAGTGGAGCTGTGATGCTTTTTTTGTGCGGTTTTTGTATCCAGTGTTTACATCTCCTGATTGAAGGAACCTGCTGCTTAACAAATTGGAATTTTTTTTTTCTAAAAAGGCCCAAGGTTGAGTCATACCACACCATAACTGCACATCTTTTTAGTGCTTTTGATATATTCAGCTCTGTTTTTATTGTCAGTCATTTGATCTTGGTTGATATTTTTATATTGTTGTATTCTTATTTAATTGCTGTTTTATTCTTATTTTTATCTTTTTATTACTATTAACTATTTTGTTTGGTTGTTTTGTATTGTATACTTCCTTCAAGAACAATCCAGAAAGCAGATGGAAAAGCATTTAACAATTGTTGTGGCAAGTGGGATAAAGGACTTGGGAGTGGGAGTTGAAAACAAAACTGGGCTTTATTAACTAGAAATGGAACAGAAACAAACAGAATGACATGGAACCAAAATAAGGAAGGGCAAGCGGGAATCACAGCACACAGAGGCAACAATATCAGTGTCCAGACTGGGGGGCACAGCACTGGGAGGCACTTATATACAAAGGACTAACAAGGGAGCAAAACGAGAGGCAGCTGGAGTGAATCACAGAAGGGCAGGAATTAGAAGTAAGACTAATATGAATCAGGTGTGACTCATTAGACTGTGTGTGTGTGTAACTACAATGTGCTTCACCGGAGGGTCAGCAGGGCAGGATGTGACGGCTATATAGTAGCACAGAGTATCACTATGTATTCAATTCAATATATTTTTATATAGCGTCTTTCACAAGCCCCGAGATACTTTACATAGGCGTATTGTAATACATTACTACATCATATGTAGTACAATGTATTTGTCACATTAAATCACATGTATCACACCAAATATCTCAAAAAGGATATGTGATATATGCCAAATGATTTTGCCAATTTAAGCTTTACTATGCCAAGCAGTTCCTTACTTGGTTTCCAAATCATATTATGAACACCATGATCAGAAAACTTTTACTGATGTCTGATTTTGCCTGAATACTTAAAACTCTAATGGGGCAAATGTACTGGCAAGAAGTATCTTTTATTTATTCATTTGTTTGTTGGTTTGTTTGTTTATACATTTTTTCGTTTCCCATGATCCCTTGCTGGTATGAATAGGTGGAAAAAATGATGTGGGTTATGGTGAAATTCATACCGCAAAATGTATGCAGGCCGATTAATGACCATGGCAGGAAACAGCGAAAAGGGTCATTTACAGAAATGAATAATATCTAGGGTAGATTCCTAAGTCTGAAAGTTTAAGGATTTTTTCCAATTTGACCTTTATTACCATTGACAATCATTTCGCACTTTAGAAACACAAACGATCGTTTTAGAATCGGGGAACATTCTGATGTTTTTTTTTTTTTGCGTGTGTGTGAAATGTCTGCTAGTGGTTAACAAAGGCGCTTAATTATAATCATTTTGATGGCATTTCTCTTCAGTTTGAATATGGACGAGCGAGGGAGTGAAATTGCGAGCCACTGGACCCTGGGGGGGGGGGGTACAGCAAAGCAACAAAAAGAGGTGACCGTGTGCATATGAGCGCGGCATGTCGATGGGCGCCGAACCTCCCACTGCGGGACAGGAAATGCCGCGGCTGGCTTATTTGGGAGAGCAGACGTGCAGATGGTGGGTCTTATTGAAAGCTGATTCGCTGGTGGAGCTTGATGACAGCACAGTGGGACACAGTGGCCCCTCAGAGGGTCCCAGCACGTCAACCTCTTCCTGTCAGCAGCTCTGCGGCGCTCTCCCGGCCCGGCCCGGTCCGGCTCATGCGTGGCTGACTGTAACAGCCCCCTTGGTGAGGACAGGTGCTCATGCATATTAATGAATGCGGGAGGTTCGTTATCTTCCTGATTTAATCACAATTGATGAGATCATTCCTTCTTTTTTAAACAGTGCCAATTGTTCTATAGAGATTTGGGAAATACTTGTTAGTAGCCTGTTTTGATTGAGCGTTTTTAATCTCCTTTCACCTCCCCTTGTTAACAGTCAGGGAGATGAGTAAACTCGTGTCTGACTGGTCATCTCTAATCCCTCCTTTACCCCCGACGTTAGCAGTCAGGAAGATGAGTAAACTCTGTTCTGATTGGTCATCTTTAATCTCCTTTCACCTCCCCTTGTTAACAGTCAGGGAGATGAGTAAACTCTTGTCTGATTGGTCATCTCTAATCCCCCCCCCTCCACACACACACCAGGAGGCTTATGCGATTTAGCAGTGGGAAGTGTGTCCTCCAAAGGATCCCCTTCCTTATGCATTGTGTACTTTGCCTGGTGTGTGGAGTGGAGGACTCGGGGCAAACAGGGACACATTGGAGGGATTCAGCTTTAGAAGCGATAACAGCTCAGGGCAGGAGCTCGAACCCTGAGGAGCAGATGGGAAGGTAGCAGAAAGTGGGCGTGTAACACATCCTCCTGCCTCCTCTTCGAGGATCGCTGAGCTGGGGCCTTTCTGAAGTGAGTGGGAGGGGCCAAAGCCAGGGGGCGGGGTCAGAGCCTCCCCTAGGTACCTGCAAGTTCCTGCAGCCCCACCCCCTCAAAATATACAATAACAGAATAATTACATCTTATGACGAAAGAGTTTATTTCCTCGGAAAGTCTTCCAACTCCGCTGCTCCTGAGACACACTGAACACTGAAGCTGGCAGACGGCATTTATTGTTAGTTTTTATTTATTTTAAAAAATTTAATTTAATTTTGTTATTTTTTTTTGCATCGCATATGAGGGTGTTCAGAAAGCCAGGATCTCCCGCCATTTCCATGGCAACTGACTGCGAGGTGACTAAAGTGACTCACAGTCGGTGTTCGAGCGCCGATCCGAACGCCGTAGAAGCTGTGAAAAGGACTCACCTTACGCATCTCCTCCCCGGGATTTAGAACGCGACCTGGTCACGGCCGGTTAACTCCCGTTTATCATTTTTGACACATTTAGACCTTAAATAGCTCCGAGTGAATGTCGTTCAGAGCCAGCTGTGAAATCACAGCTGTCCGTTTGCATCTTAATCCCCCACCTCCAAAAAAGAAGAAGATTTACTCTGTAAAATATCAGAAGCAGCCCTTTACTCACTGCCTCCCTGAGTTCCCAGAGACCTCGTGCCGTACTCGGCCTTATTCCTTATTCATACGAAAACAAACCGCGGCTCCTCCAAGCTGCCCTCTCCTCCTCCCTCTCTTCGGCCTCTCCTCCTCCCTCTTGTCCTCCCTCTCTTCTCCTCCGAGTCATCTCCTTTGTCTCGTTCTTTTCTTCCCCGCTTCCGCTGCCCGGAGAACGTTTTTTGTGTTGCCTTCCGATCCCTGTCAGATCCCGTTGCCAAGCTGATGAAATGTGGGTTTTTGCACAAGACCTAATTTCTCTTTCTGTGGAAAGTTTAGGGCTCCTACCGGCGCTGGAGTTGAAAGCCTCTGAATGCAAAACGAAAAAAAACTTTGTGTTAAAAAAAAAGTGTTAATCTCCCAAAAGTTACATAATACACAAATGTCCTGTTGTAATGCATTTTACGATATATTCAGTCTTCCATTTAATTTTGGCAGCGCTGTGTGGTTCACTGGGTTTGGGCACTGTGTTTGTGCTCAGCAGGTCACTGGTTTAAATCCCAGGATCTGCAGAATGTTTCTACTGTTTGACCGCTGAGCAAGGCCCTTAACACCCAATTGCTCCAGGGACTCTCTGTCCCCACTTTCACAAAAGCTGTCTCCTGAAATATAAATATCTGGCCAATAAATATTTGTTATACATGTATGTAATTTTAGTTAAGTTAAAAAGTGATTCCAGTGTTTTTAAAGTCTGAATGGCTTTGGCATTTGACCAGTGACCCTGATAGTTTGATATGTGAATCATTATGTAAAACATTAAGTGACTCCAGCTGCGCTTGCTGGTCTGAATGCGGTAGGGCTGCCCAGTGAGACATCTCTGTGGTGACTCTGCCCTTTGACCTCGGCGCCCACCCCAGGTGCCTTACGTGAAGGTGGCCCCTGAGGACGCCCTGAAGGTGCAGTTTCCCCGGTTCACCACCTTGGACCTGCGGCCCACCAACACCGACGTCAGCCTGGCAGTGGCCAGCCTGCTGGGCTTCTTCAACAACACCATGGCCTGCCTGGTCTGCGCCAACGCCGACTGTGAGTAGCCGCCCCATGAACACCGACGCCAGCCGCGCACCCCCACGTTCCAACCATAGGCCCCGCCCACTCCCTCACTGTAATGCTAGGCTCCACCTACTGCACCTCCCCATTCCCTCTAAGACCATCCACTCTCTAAATGTAGTTTTTCATTCTCTAAGTTTGTGAACAGTTTCCACTATACATCAGAAGAAGAATATATGAATTTTGAACAATACAGGTTACCAAGCCACGAATCATGATTTTTTTTAATTGTTTTTTTTTTTAAAGAGAAAATCTCATTTTGCTCAGTGTTGTCCCTCCCCTTTTGCCCCCTCCTTCTGTCTGACCTTTAACATAGTCCCACTTGATTATGTCACCTGTTGATGTCCCTCCCCCACCCCTGGGCCGTGCTGTGAGGGCCCCTGCATGAGTGAGCAGCCAGATCATTAGACATACAGCAGTGCCAGGACACTGAGTGTCCTATTAAAACGCTGACCTTTCGAAAAAAGCCGGCCTTTGGTAGGCTGGCCAGCTAACGCTGTCCCTCCTCAGCCTCGGACCTCTGGATGCTGCCTTTTGCTTTGGGATATCACCCAGGGATACCTTGAGCCTCGGTATATAAGCACTAATTTAACAGTCTGGTGACCTGACTGCCTGATTTTAGCTTTGGTGATCATTTAATGGGACTGCATAGTCATTCAATTCAATTTTATTTGTATAGCGCATTTTCACAACATTACACTGTCTCAAAGCGCTTTACATTATCCCTGCCCAAAGCCCCAATGAGCAAGCCAGAGGCGACAGTGGCAAGGAAAAACTCCCTAGAAGGAAGAAACCTTGGGAGGAACCAGAGTTAAAGGGGGAGCCCATCCTCCAGGGGCCGGCAGGGAGAGTCAAATGAATGAGATGGCAGAGTCCTAATTTACACTTTCCAGATCTTAAGATTTGAGTTTCAATGCAGAGGGCAGGCAGGTGATGGTGGCAGCAGGATGAACAGTGGTACGGCAGCAGGGCGTACAGGAGAGACGTCACAGGCAGCAGGGCGTACAGGAGAGACGTCACAGGCAGCAGGGCGTACAGGAGAGACGTCACAGGCAGCAGGGCGTACAGGAGAGACGTCACAGGCAGCAGGGCGTACAGGAGAGACGTCACAGGTAGTGGAGGCCTCGCAAGCAGCAGCGTAGGCAGGATATCTTGGTAATTTGGGGTCTCCGGGCAGCACACGCCAGGAAGAGTAGGGGGAATAAAATGTGCAATTAGCCACAGTAGGGGAGACTATCGGCAGGGCAAACAGTTAGGTGAGTGCGGTATGTAAGCTCTGACACATACGGCTATGGGAGCATAAGTAGGAGGGAGAGGGAGGTGGGAACGCAGGCATGGGGAGTCCCTGAACGTCAGCACTCCAATTCCACAAGGGAGTGTGAAGCTAGAGTGACAGCAATGACAGACCAGTGCATCCAAAGCCAGTGGCACCGATCTGTTCCTTCTAGCCTAGGTACTGACAGATATCCTGCTCCTTGGGATCGAAGGAAACGAGGAGGGTTATATGAGGCCAGTAGTTCTCTATGGTATTCTGGTGCAAGGCCATTCAGTGCTTTATGAGTTAATAGCAGTATTTTGTAGTCAATCCAAGACTTAACTGGAAGCCAGTGAAGAGAGCAAAGAACAGGGCTAATATGATCAAGATTTTTTAGTTTTTGTAAGAACTCTGACGGCTGCATTTTGTACCAGCTGAAGCTTATGTAAGGATCCGGATGTGCACCTAGAAAGGAGGGTATTACAGTAGCCCAGTCTGGAAGTTATAAAGGCATATATTAGTGTTTCCGCATCATGAAAGGAGAGCATCTTCCGAAGCTTGGCTATGTTCCGTAGATGGTAGAACGCAGTTCTACATCTTATGTGAGCATCGAAACGTAGATCTGCATCAAGCAGAACATCAAGATCTCTGACCACTGTGTTAGGCTGAGTAGGAAGACCACCGAGGTTGAGGTTGTCAAACTTATTTCGAGCAGCCTTGGGACCAACCATAGTTACAGTACTTCTCTTTTTCCTGTGCTTAACATAAGGATTTTTTTCCACCAGATGTCTTCTGTGATGCATCATCTGGTTTAACAGATATATATATAACTGTGTACCGCAGCATAACAATCAAACCCAGCATCATGATTTCTAATAATGTGACCAAGTAGTAGCATATATAAAGTGAACAGTAGCGAGCCCAGCACTGATCCCTGTGGGACACTATATTTGACTTTAGCAGGAAGATTCATTGTTCACGTGGACAAACGATCAGTTAAATAAGAGCAAAACCCATAGAGACCTGTCCCCTTAATGCCAACCACAGATTCTAGCCGGTCCGAGAGAATATTATGGTCCACAATATCGAAGGCTGCAATTTGATCTAGTCATGGAAGGTTTTCATTTACAAAAGGACAGCGACTGACTTCTTATTAGCTGTTGTTTTCACTGTAGAATGTCTCAGTCAGGGGTTAGTCAGGTGACAGTGGGAGGATGTCTCAGTCAGGGGTTAGTCAGGTGACAGTGGGAGGATGTCTCAGTCAGGGGTTAGTCATGTGACAGTGAGAGCATGTCGCAGTCGCCTTGCCGTAGTCATATGACAGTGGCTGGGATTAAGTTTGTGAGTGAGCTCTGCACATGGAGATGTGAACTATTAGGAAATAATATGACTGTCAGTAATACACCCTCCCATATCTACATGCACACACTTGCTCCAAAACTGAGCTATTAATCCGCACCATCCAGGCTCATTAATCACATTGGCACACAACAACCTAATAGAGCACAGCCACTTCATGAATATTTTCCAGCCCTGTGATGCAGGGGGGTTGTGGGAACGGTGGGGGGGAGCATGGCAGAGGCAGCACACTGCGAGAACGACCATTAATCTCTCGTGGCGTTTCGATTGGCCCTGCAGCTGCAGGGAGCCAGCGCGCTGCCACCCGGGGGCACGAGGCGGGACTCACAGGCTGAAGCGGCGGGAACCGGAGTCATGCGGAGTGGGGTCAACAGGGGGAGCGCGCTTCACCTTCCTGACCACCGGGGGCACCATGGCAGCAGTGGACCTGGTGTCTGACTCAGCATCCGGGGGCCCCCGCCAATTGAAAGCACATTCCTACCCCTTTCGCCCACCTGCTCTCCCACTTTAACTCTGCACAGATCAATTATGGGATGTGTTTATTTAACACGGCACCGTGTTTGGAAATGTCACGGGTAATCCGTAATTAAGGTCAACAAAGAACAGGGGATCTTGCTCGGCCAAGTAAAGGGATCGAAAAGATCCAGAAAACACGCGGCGTTCGGAAGCAGCAGTTTGGGGGTGTGATTACGAACCCGCTCTTCAGTGACGGGGAGCGAGAGAGCTGCAGTAGGCGGATTTTGGATTACTCTGATCCGCGGTCGGGTGACTGCCCAACGGTCCCGCCAGGAGGGCGCCATGTTGCCCGGCGATGAGGTTTACTGCGCTGTCTTGGGGTCGCAGCGTGTGGCATCCGTGTCCCGCATGATCGCCCGCCGCAGCTGCATTCGCTGCCACTGGCAAGTCATTTGTATGCAGCCCCTTGCCTGTCACACCCCGGGCTCAGCTGCGGCTCAGTCGCGCAGAAATGCAAGCTTAACCATCATCCTCTAAAAATTCAGTTAGGCCAGTGGGGGCGGAGTCTTGTGCCCTGTCTGGTTTTGGCTTCTTTCACAAATATTGATTATCTGAAACACTATTAAAATATACTTGCATTAATTAAAGCAGTAAATACATGGCAGTAATTAAATGTAGACTCCAAAGTGTTGATACTCATTAAAAACAATACTGATTTATCGCTTATTATCTGGAAACAAAAACTGAATTTGGCCAGTTTTTGCGGCATCAAGAAGGCGTGAGTATACCGATGGCCTTGTGGTCACATGGCGTTTAGGCTGGAGTAAAGTCTTGGGCCCAAGCAGAAGGATTTGGACTGAGATCACGAGGCAGCTACTGACTCGAGGCAGGGTAAGAGGCCCAAAGATTCAAGGATTCAAAAGCTTTATTGGTATTTGTACAAGTTCAAGTACAATGAAATATTTGCTTGCATACCTCCCTGTAGACTGTAAACAACAAATAAAAAATAACAATAACAAAATGGTCTATGACCAGGTCTAGGGCCTGGCTCGCAATTTCAATTCTAGTTCACCCCAAAGGTGGACCAGTCAAGTTCTTCCACACCAAACTCACCCAACCATGTCTTTATGGGCCTTGCTTTGCACCCTGGGACACAGTCAGTCAGGAACAGAAAAGGGCCTTCCCCAAATTGTTCCCACAAAGTTGGAAGCATAAAATTGTCCAAAATATCTTGGTATTGTCAGGCCTTCATGTCCAATATCACTGCTGACCTCTCTAATACTCTCCTGGACGAATGGGCAGAAATTCCCTCAGACACACTGTAGCAGTGGCAGTGGTTATCAGGCCGGCTGCGTCTGCGCAGTTATGCGTTTCCAAGTGTCCCGTGTGGCCGGCAGCTGCAAGCGGCATGGCTCTTCCTGGTCGCCAGCTGGGACACAGGGGTGCTGGTAGCGGGCGAATGCAGCGAGCGGGCAGGTAAGGCAGCATCCAGCAGAACGGCACTGCGGCGTGCTGCCCGCGGGGTACACCACCCATCCCCCCCACACTTGTTCCCTCCCTGCCTTCTTGTTTATAGTGTGCTGAATGGCTGCGTATTAGAGATTAGAGGCAGGGAGACTCTGTCATTTCTCCTCTACGGCTCTCCTTGCGGCTCCAGACTGCCGAGAGGGAAACACTTTTTTCTTTCTTCAGAAGCTGAGCTGGCTGGGGCCGACGTGATATAGCCTTCCCCCACCATCCCCATTGCTTTCAGATCCTCGGGTTCTACACCAGCACCATTTCATTCTGCCTTCTGGCTTGGGGGGGGGGTGGTTTTCGTTGGAGCGGACTAACAATCTGATTTCTCAGATGATTTATTGAAAATGATTTGTATATGTGTGTGACTGTGAGAGTCTGTGCGTGTTTGACTCAGACTCTGCTTGGTGCTTCAAGAGCTTAGGAGACCCAACTGACTACTACTGACAATGTAGTGGCATTAGAGATGTCGGTCCTTTGGGGATGGAAGAGTGGTCTCTCAATGGGCTCTTTGTACCACATGTGCTCAGACTTTCTGGTAGTACACAGCACTGCTCAGATTGCTAGGAGACTGTGCTCACCATTCTACTCTGTCTCATCACATCCCAGGCCTGCTGAACCTTGAGAGACTCTTGCGTCAGTTCCTCATCTCTAAGGAGACGCTCTCAGTGCGCATGCTGGACGATAGCCAGGACCCCACGCCACTCCTTAAGGAAATCCGTGATGACAAGGCTGCCACCATCATTGTGGATGCCAACCTTACCATGTCCCACATCATCCTGGAGAAAGTGAGTGCCAATGTGATGTATCACTGTACCCCAGCCCACCCCTTTGATGTCATGGACTGTCCCCTGTGATGTCATAGACTGTCCCCTGTGATGTCATAGACTGTCCTCATGATATCATCATGTCATGCAGCATCCAAGAGAATGAGACTGTCCTCATGATGTCACCATGTCACCCAGCATCCAAGAGAGTGAGACTGTACCCATGATGTCATCATATTGCCCAGCATCCACGAGAGAGTGAAACTGTCCTCATCCTGTCATCATGTCACCTAGCATCAAGGAAAGTGAGACAGTGCCCATGATGTCATCGAGTATCATAACATTGGTGTTTTCATATCATGTAACATTCAGGAGGGAATGAGACTGTCATGATGTCAAGATGTCACACAATGTCCAAGATAATTGTGTACCCCCCCCCCCATTGTTTTGCAGTAGGTGAGTCCATTATCTTGGCCAATATACAAAATTCATGATATTATCAATGGTAATCAGTAAACAATTGCACAGTAAGGTTCATTTTCTGGTTTCACGCTAAATGAACTAGAAACCGTTAATTTTTAGCAGTGCCTCGGCCGTGAAAATGTGAGAAAAGACATTTTCAATCAGCAGAGCTACTTGTACCTCAGATTTAACAAGATTGTTTTGCTTTTTTGAATTGGTAAGTGGTCCTTCTTCTTAAACAGTACAGCTAATGATGTTCCTGTTACCCAGAATTCCTCATTCATTAGCAGCTTAAGCGTCACCAAAATCGTGCTGTAGGTACAGCCTTAAATATAACACTCAGTCAATGTGAAAAGATTTCAGGATGGGATGAACATAGCAGCCAGGCCGCCTGCAACATATCTCGGGTTGTATCGACCATGTCGCGTCAGCTACATCCTGCGCCAGAGCACGCTTGCTAATAATCTTCATTACGGAGATCAAACAGGAAGCTCAATCACGACCCAGTATCCCGAAGCCATGTGAACTCCCAAACACGATGATTAAGGGCCATTAACCTAAATCCTCTTAGCAGTTTTTATTTTAAATAAATGTGCAAAACATGGAGTAAATAGGATTGTCATACTAACATGCGCGTGGCGTCGGCAGCCCTCTCGCCTAATCCTTTTCAGATTGTTGTGCAGTGATTATGTGATGTCGTACATCGACGAGTTAATATTTTAGGGTGTTATTATCTGTGGTTTCTCTGGAAGAGGGATAGTAACATCTGTCGGTGAGGTGGTGTTTGATTGGGGTGGGGTCAGGCGCCGTGTTCGTTCTTTACCTTCGCGGCCCAGGATACTCCCCAGACCACGACCCCCCAGGCATTCAGCCTGATGTATCCCTTTCCAAACCCGACTCCTGTTTGGTTTTTCTTGCGTTTTGTTCCTCTTTTGTCTCTGTTGCTCTCCATCCTTTCGTTAAATCCGGTTGCAGTCCTCCAAGGCGCCGTTTTTTTTCCTCTCCTCTCCACGTCACGCAGATCTGCACGTCACACCCACATTAACAGCGTACATTTTTGCAAAGGGGGGTCAGACAATCTCTGGCGCAGTTGTGGGTTGGGGACCTTGCTCAGTAACCTAATGGATTTTGGGGATTTGACCCGGCAACCTTCCAATCACAGGTATGGAATCCTAACATGTTGAACCACACACCACCCCTAAGTACATTCACCTTGGGGCGGAAATGTAGTTTCATCGATTTAAGTTAGGAGCAGGTCATGGTTGAACGGGGGCGGTGTTCCTGGCAGCTCCGTGGGATTGTTGCCGTGGAGATAAACCTTCTGCAGCCCTCCGCCCTGGCCGCGATTCTCAATGCGGCAGAGGCCGGATGCTCGGTTTGAACTGGAGGAAGCCCCCACCAGTCAGGTCATGCTGTAGGCTTTCGCACGCTGACCAGAGGCCTCACAAGATTAAAACCGAAGGTGATGTGACTCACCGCCGAACGGCACTTGACGGCCAGCAGGACGCTACCTTAATTAAAACCCGGTGAAATAAATCTCTGTCGTTATAGGGATTCGCAGATTTATGGGAGTCGCGGGATTAGGGGGGGGGTTAGAGTTTTCAGCTGGGGAGGCGCCGTCTAACCGGGCCGAGGGGAAGGGTTTGAAGACTCGAGATCTGCGATGTGGCAGGTGAAACAGAGAAACCTTTGTTCATACCATGCTGGCTAAACCGTGGTTGAGATGTCAAAGGTTTGAAAGCAGGGGTGGGGGCTGCATCTACATCTTCCTTTGCCTGCAAATGTTCTCCACCTCCCTAGGAAGCCCCCAGTCCCATCCGTCAGCCAATGGAGCACTTTATTATTCTTGGGGAGGAACTCTTGACTCGCAGCCGTTGTGGCCCGGTTAGGGGGCTGGGCTGGGGTGGGCTGGAACTGTCACGCTCCAAGGCGCGACCCCGCTGACCTGGAGCTGTAACTGCGGCTTTGAAAGTCAAGCCGAGTCAAGTCAAGTGGGCTTTACTGTAATGCCATCCATACATGCTGCAATGTCTATGTATGTGAGACAGCAGGAGCGTATCAAGGTCGGACAAATATACTGGTTAAAAATCAACTATAAATACAAAAGAAAAAATAAGTTAAAGACATCGGTGCCAGTTTCTGGGTGGGGGGAGAATTCTCGGTGGTTTGGCTTTCATTAGATTTTTAGGTCATGCAAACTCATCTCAGCTGTTACCATCACAAAAATTAATGTTTAAATTTTTAACTATCGGTAAAGAGTCTATGGTATGTCTAAGTAGAGTGTCTGCATATTATGAGCCTGTCCAGAAATGGTCCCATTAATTTTCGAAATCGTTCCGGTTGTCCTCCTGCCTCCAGGGTGCGCCGTCTCCCCCAATAGGACCATTCGGCGGCGACCTGTCACTGCGAGTTTTTCACAGAGGGCTGATGTGAAATTCGGGAGACTCACTTGTTAATTCTGATTATTGGTGAAGAGGGGTGATGTAATCTCGGGGAGGCGTGTGTGTCATGAATGCCACCTGTGAACAGGTGCGGCTTCCCTGCGTATACTTTCTGTTGCTGATGCTGATCTCCCTCTTTCTGATCCCTGCTCAGCCATCCTCTCTACACCGTCCTTTTTGCTCTTTTTTATCTGCACTGTTTTGTTTTGCCGATAGATTCTGACAGCAGTCGCCGGCATCCCCATCACGCTGTGGTTGGCATGGCAACATGCTGGGGGAAGAGACCTCACTGCCATTGCCCTGCCATCCCTGCACCCCCCCACCGCCGCCAACTACCCCTCCTGGCCTAAAGCAAAGTGCCTCACACACCTTCTAAAAAATCCCACACAATACAGCAGGCCCACCCATAAGATGGGAGAAAGAGGAAGCCTTTCAGTGACCCAGACACTAGGGGGCGCCCATGAGCATGGATAATGGTAACTTTGATTTGGAGAAAGGAGTAGAATTCGGTAGTATTTTTCCTTGTCTCATTCCTCCCTCACTCCCTTTGCTCTTCTTCAGCCAGGCCCGTCAGAGTGGCCTGCCGGCCGGTCGTTACCCCTTGCTGTCAGGTGTTACCCGGAGAACCAGCTTGAGTCATAACATCCAATTACCTGCTCGGCACGATGACGTGCAACTCGCAACAACGAAAACATCAAAGCAACAGCACACCCGTCAGAATCATGCTGCGTGGAAGTTCATGTCCACTGCTGAAAGAGTACTGGGCCAACTGGGAGCCCGCAAACTGGGGTTTTAGCGGCTGTAGTGTAAAGCACCTGTCAGAAACACATTTAGCTATCATCTGGGACGGCTTGAAAAGCTGTAGTTTTGTTACCCTGGTGCCAAATCTCTGTGATAATAAAAGTATATAACAAAATTCAATAGGATCCGTTTTATTTGTGAAGATAACAGACTGTTGGCACCAGAACCCAGAACTGATTCAATACTAGATTCCTCAAGCTGGAACAATTGGACCTTTCTAGGAATTTGCTTCTGTGGGAAATGTTTTGGTGTCCCCAGATCTGAAGAATATCCTTCGTTGTTTCTTTTGTTAGTAACTCTCAATGTACTGTTCCAGAACACTTGCCAGTGTCCTTTTTTCGGACTCTGGAGGACGTGCAGGAGCACAGATTAAAAGAACAGCCCATGTTGGTGAGGAAGCTCTCTGGTGGCTCGTTCTTCATGCAGAACTTTGATATGTCACCTCCAACCCTGGCAGGAAAGAAGTCTGGAACAGTGTAGCATTCTTGAAGGCATAAAGCAACAGATGACTGGAAACTGAAGTGCTATTGAATTGACTGTCATTACCTCTGAGGACAAATTCGTCCTTCTTGTAATATTTACCGACCACAGTGCATGACTGTCACACAGCAGTTCGTCGGTATTCTCCTGAAGGTCATAAATCCTCTTGGTGTCCCAGGGTGTTCTTTAGCCCCCAAAATAGTGTGTTCTGATTAGGGTTGCAAAGGGAAGGACAACTTCCAGAAACTTTCCAGGAACTTTCCAATCCATGGGAAGTTAAAGATGGGGAATTTTGGAAACATTATAAGAAATTATTGGGAATATATGGGAATTAATGGGAAAACTGCCAGAATTTTGCAGCTGTAGTTCTGATTCATTTTCATTAAAATCAGACCCTGAGTTAAGGTTTTGCCCCCTCCTGCCGCCCATTTCATAAATCTCTAGTGACTCTTAGTGAGCTCACAAGGTTTTTTGATTTTGGATCTTTTAAATTCTGAAGAAAGCGGCCAGTGCCTTTGTCTAACCAGTGTGATGTCATCATAGTGTGCCTTACTGTGCG